GTTCCATTAGATAAAACAATAATTTGTATAAAATATTATTAAAATTGAGTAACGTTAACACGTGACACAAGTTGAAAATTCGACTGGTGTGGTTTTACAATTTTCGTTATTTATCTTACAAACTATGATATTTAAAAAAAAATTATCGAATTTAATTTATAGAACTAAATATTTTCTATAAAAAATATTATTATTTAAAAAGCCATATCTATAATACTTAAGCATAACAACCCAGCACAGGGGGTCGCAGCACAGTGGTGACGTGGCATAGTTAGATCAAGTATAATGATATCTGACAGTGATTAAAATTACTATCAAAATAAAACGCTTCGATGCAAATCTTTAGATAGTGTTTAATTTTAAAAAAATGTTGGATTATTCCAAAAGCTACATGATCTGCTATTTCCTTATTTATATCCTGATTAAGATAAAGTATGTCGAATGAAAAAGGGATTATTAAAAAATATTATTTCTCATAAAAAAATTGTGTTGATCCATACACTTTTCAATAAGTTATAGCATTATAAAGTTAAAAATGCAAAAAATAAAATCGAGAATTTTGACACAAAAATAGCATTTGGTAGCCATTTTCATCGTGAAGACAAAATAAAGTCCGAATTTTTTTTTTTTTAATATTTAAGTATATTACATAAGCTTTAATTTAAGAAATATATAAAAGTGTCTGTATTTTCGGAACACTTTAAAAAGTTAATTTTTTATCAAAAATTGTTATTTTGAATTCCCACCTGTGGGCAGATAAAGGGTCAAATTTATAAAAAAAATATATCAAATGATAGGTATGGCATAATGACATTATGCATCTATTAAAAAAAATTATATTGATTTGTTCAATTTTGAAAGTTATGGCAGTTTTAAGTAAAAAAAATTTCGAAAATTTCGAAAATTAGTGATTTTTTTGGAGATTTCCCCCATTTACGGGGAACGAAGGAAATTTTTTCAATTTTTGAGGGTAATGTCTTCGACTAGATATGATTTGTGATCTTATGACGTATCGTTGAAAGAAATTGGTTCGATGTGAGTTGAGAAAAAGTGGTAACAAAATACATCATAGTAAAACCAATATCTTCTCAGCTTTCCATTGAAGCTAAGATTAATAAAACGACATATTTTTATTTTAATTGTTGAAATTATATAAATAGGAATAAAAGCATTCCTATAATTAAATATAGCTGACGAACTATTCGATTTAAAAACAGTGTTCATATACAAGTTATTTAAAATTTAACTTTTTGTTGTATGATTTATTTTTTTTAACAAAGGTAATTTAAATGCAATTAGCATTCAACCGATTTTCATTTTTTTTACATAAAATTAAACAATTTTAAATTACCTATAACTTTTATATTTAACAATTTTTTATCTAACTTCTATCTCGTTTGCTGTTTACGAATTTACTACTGAATTTTTATCATTTTTTTCAAAATGTCAGAAAAAATTCAGAGTTTTTACGTAAAATATACCAATAAAAAATAAATTTATCAACTATATATAGATGTTATACTCTGATATATAACAAAGAAAATGATATATTATTTTGTATTATTGCTAAAAAAATGAAGAAGTTATACGTGTTTGAAAAAATAAAACAAATTTCCTAATATCAGAGTTTATTAATTCGATGTTTTAATTTTGTAAAATATATAAAAAAATATTGAAATATTACTTACAATAAAGATATTTAGAATATAATGAAAACACTGTTTCGCGGCACATGAAAAACGCTAATTTCGCAATAACTCAAAAACTGTTCTACTTTTTGTATTTTGAACTTCATTTTCGGACTCAGTGTACGATATTACATAAAAAATGACTATCATAAGTCATAGGTAAATTTTGTTGTAAACTAGTGTAGTTTGGTTAAATTAGCTAGTTAGATACAATGTTTTAGAAGTACTATTTTAGCAATATGTCACTTGAATATTTTGTAGAATCAAAATAACGTGATTGGTCAGATTGATGTTTTAAATGTTGACTGAACTGATTATTTATAATCTGCTTACATAATAGTACACGGTTAATAGTATAAAAGTAACGACAATTAAAAAAGTTTTGTCACGTTTGCATTTTTATTGTTAGATACACTAATTATTTTGTTGGAATATTTGTCTATTTAAGCGCACTCATTAAACTGAATTCATGACAAAAATATTAGTAATTATAACAAAACAGTGATTTACTAAATTACATTTGTCTTTATAACAAATCGATTAGTAGTACTTACAATTGNGTGATTTACTAAATTACATTTGTCTTTATAACAAATCGATTAGTAGTACTTAGTTTACAATTCGATTTTACGTACAGAATTCTGGTCGTGTTTACTATTTATTATTTAACTAAACACTTTTGTTAATTATTTTTATTCAGCCTTTTTTTCAGTGTAGAAAATAAATCAAACTGTTAAATAATCTACCTATGGCAAAAAGGTATTTTTAATTTTAATGAAAACAAAGAATAGTTACACTATAATTTTTGAATAACACAATATTTGAGTTTTGGTTGGACACACTGAGCTTGTCGAGTTAAAAGCGTCTGTATCCTGTAGTACACAGCTGTACACCCCTAAGTGTACACAAACGCAGTAACGTACTCATCGTGAACACGTCTGCCGTCGCTGTTTGTGCTACTCGTGCAGGTAAATACTTGGAAATTCCGCCGTCGGGCACCAGTTACGTTAAATACGTAAACACGGATTTTTATCGACTGGGCAGTCGAACGCGCAAAACTAACGTCGACCTAACATGAGCGACTCGCAAGTAAGCTCAAAATAATATATTTTCTAGCACCATTAGTGTAAGAAAATCCTTAACTCATTGTCAAGCCAATGTTTAGTAAAAATCTATACTTTTGTAATTTTATAATACAGCAATTTTTTGTCATATAAAACTTAGTTTTATTTTCAATTCTCTATTAATTTATATAGAATTTATATTTTTGAATAATTCATTCAAATGTAGGACTAATTCAGTCGTACGTGAAACATTAGAAATTTCACGACTTGAGAAGAAAATCGATAGCACGTATATGCATTGTTTCGAAAGTTCTTGACTTTTGTCTTGAAATCCAAAAGAAACTTTCCCTGGAATCTTAGTAAATGAAGAAAAATTTTCAAACGCACATCGATGAATGATTGTAGTATACATAAATATAAGTTTGTACTTGTAATATGTGCGCTGTGGTCGGCGAAAACAGGGTAGCTGGCCGAAAGCGTTGGCGTGACAAGGAAAATGGTGAATGGGTGGCCCCGGGGGTCGTTATTGCCAAGGCGCACTTTCGGGGTATTGATTATTTTAGTTCAGAAGAATAAGCTGTGGCGGGAAACACATGTACGTATATACTCAAGCTAGGTAAATACTAACGACGCATTTATGGTTCAACATCTGGTTTGAAATGATTGCGATATGCAATATCGCAATATCGGGTAATGTCATGTGATTTCGTATGTAGTAAAATTATATCTTATTTGAACTGCATGCGTAAATCTAAAGTTTCATAATTTAAATAACGTAGAACTTTAACAAATATATTGGGCTTAAACTTTAAATTTTAGTTTAACGGCGTCTAGGGTAGGCAATCTAGGGACATTGGTGCGTGATATAGCAATAATTTTCGCAGTTGAAATAATAGCAATGAAAATCCAAGAAATATTAGTAACACTCGCTATAACTTAAGCATCATAAATATTATGATATTCTAATATAATATACACTTAATACAATCGTTAAACTTTTACTAAATCATAAGTATTTACTTATGTAAAAATGTATCATATATTATTTAGAGCTGATATTATATTGATTCATTTATAAATATTTTTTATTCATATTATTCATTTATTACTACAAAAATATTTTATTAAATTATGTAATAGTAAATAAAAGGCACAGTGGGGACCCTGCACATTATATATTAAAATATAAGTTATAATTTATCATTGATAAACTTCACTGTTATAACACTATGATAATGTAAATGTGCATAAAAATGGAAGAGGAGAATTGTATCCCCAGCAATCCTTTTTTTACATGCCAATGAAAAAATCACTAATTTGTTTAACACTCTCTCTAGAAAATTTTTTGTAAACAGTATAAATAGCTTTTGTTATTTGCAATTTTTACAAAAATTATAGATTTTTATTAAATTTTATGTCCATTTACAAAAAGAAAATAAGTCTTGAGGATTATTGTTTTTCAACATGAAGTATATTATGTAAGCTGTAATTTAAACTATATTTAAAATTTTCAGGACTTTTGAACGTTTTCAAAAGTTAACTATTTATATAAAAGTTGTTATTTTCAACCCCCCACTGTGAGTAGATAAGGAGTTGAATTTTCATAAAAGAATATGCCGAATAAAATGAAAATATTTTAGATGTTTTAAAAAACTTTGTTTTAATTAATACATTTTTCAAATAGTTATAGTAATGTTGAGCTGAAGAAGTAAAAAAAAATTAAAATTTGCTGATATTAAAAATTATAATTTTTTGGTGGATTTCCTACATTTAAAAGGAACTGGAAAATATTTTTATAGTTTATTAATAAGAGATTCAACTATATACAATTTATAATCATTTGAAATAACGTTAAGCAAAATCTGTCCAAAATTAAGTAATAATGTTCACAAACACGAAAAAAACACACCATATAATTAAACCTTACCTTTTAATTAATACCTTTTTAGCTTCGCATTGAAGTTAAAATATCATGTGATTTTTAATAATTAATATCTTGATCCTTTTAGAATTTATGATACAGCATACACTGATATAATGTCCGTGTGTATTATACTTATGACTAGATCCGGAACTATATGCATTAATAGATTTTGTTTAAAGGGTTTCAAGTTTGTGTTGGGGGACAAGTTCTCTTTTGTTGCATCATTGAGTATATGTGATTGTTTATTTTTATATAAACAGTTTTGGATTTTTTTTAAATTTAGAATACTTTTTACAATAATAAGAAAACATTTAACTTTTGCAGAGATTTCTTGTCAAAACAGAACGGAGTGGAAATGTGTACGTTCACGTTCAGGTAACGATTCTAAAGATAACATATATTATTATAACATAAAGTTTTTTTAAATTATATTTCGTCTTAGAAATAAGGGATTTAAGTTAATTTTTATTTGGTGGGAGGTATTGGTAGCTTAAATTTTAAAGTATATTGAGATCTAAGTAGCACGATTTTGAAATGAATACTTTCAAAATAATAATAAATTTTAATAAATATAAACAGTATAAATTTTAGGCCTTTCAAAGCTCAGTGTAAGTTTTATTTTGGCACCCTATAAAAAAATGTATAATTTATTTTTTAAGTTGACGATCAAATAGTAAAATAAGTCTTTAATTCTTGGAAATATCGTGGTGCATTGCATTTTTCTAGCGAAGGCTATTTAAATACTATATGTAAACCTTATTCTTTTACAATTAAATTAATTGAGTTATATCTTATTTCATTTAACCAATAAGAATTAATTAATTTTCAAACTATAAAAATTAAATTAATTATTAATTATTATATTAAATAGCTTTTCAAGTAATCATCTTATCAATGAGAAACTAATCTTATACATGTATGGGTATTATAAGAGAGTTGTTACATGTTATTTTACTTGGTCATTTTTAACACTAATACATTATGCATGAGGAGGGGATGTTTTATACAAGATACAGTGCCGTAATTCTGAAAATAGTAAAAAAAATTCAAAAAACCCATTTTACTCATCATTTCTTTTTGAAAATAAATATTGAAGGTCAATCGAATGAGCATGTCTTCTTTATTATACTAAGAATAAAAATTTTAAAAAGTATTTTTATTATATTTAATTTATTGATTACAGTTATTTATTTATACATTTTTAGGGAGATCTTACTCAGCAAGATAAAAGGGCCATATTTCTTACTGTACATGACCTAGGATGTAATCGTAAGGATATATATTTATTTTACTTAATTATTTTATTTCTATTAGAAATTTAAATATATTTTAACTATTAATTGAGCAAACAAACATTCTAGTAAATTATATCTGTGGATTTTCAGATGTATCTTTTGAAAACTTTGTTAACCAACCATGCATGAGCGAAATAAAAGACCGATCAATATTTATTCATATTGATGTTCCTGGACATGAAGATAATGGTGATACTCTTCCAGACTCGTCAGTATAATCTATTTTAGTATTTTTATTAAGAAATACTTTCCTGACAAGTAAAATTAATAAAATCGTTTAATTTTGGCAGTTTCCAATTTCCATCACTACAAGTTCTGGGTGAAGACTTGGTAGCCGTTTTGGACACATTGCATATACGTTATGTTATTGGACTGGGTGAAGGAGCCGGAGCTAATGTAGTAGCAAGGTTTGGATTAGCACATCCATCTCGCGTCCTTGGCCTCATTCTTATAAATTGTACTGGTTCGGCAACTTCAGTTAAGGAGAATTTTAAATCAAAAGTAAGGAAAAAAATGAGATTTAACATTTTGAAAATTATTTTATATTATTAAGATTAATTAAGAAATCTTATTTAGTTTGTTAACTGGAAAGGGAAAGTACAAGTAAGCCAATCAGCAATGGACTATTTGGTTTTCCACAAATTCGGACATGTGTGTATTGAATTTATTTTAAACTCTTTGATGTAAATATAATAATTATATTTAATCTATATTAATTTATACTCAATAGCAACTGATGAATGAGACGAATCCCGATAAAGAGTTAGTAATTAATGAGTTTGTGAAACGTCTACAAGGCACTATCAACTCTAAAAATCTTAAACAATATGTTAACGCTTTTCTAAAGTAATATAAAATATTATGATATTTTAACACAAAATCATGAGTAATCAATTTTATATTTTTATCGATAGCCGCAAAGATCTAATGCTTAAAGACTATAAACAAGATATTTTATTGGTCACTGGTGTACTGGGTTCATATGCTAACGTCGTAGAAAAATTACATCGAGACTTAAATAAAAATAAAGCCACATTGTTGAAAATAGAAAGAGCAGGGGACGTTTTAGCAGAAGCTGTAAGTATAAAATAATTGTTAGAGTTTTTTGTTACGAAACTATAACAGCCGTGCTGGTGCTAACATAACACATCGCAGGCCAGTGTGTATACAAATTATAGCTAGTCGTATGTTAACATTAAAAACTTAATTATCTAAATTAAGAATTCTGTATTATAACTAAATTATAAATTATATCCTACCAATGAATTTTAATAGTGACTGTGTTATAACAATAAAAAAACTAAGTAACATTATACACTAGTGTCGACTTATATTTTGCCTTGTTTTATGACTAGTTAAAACACAATTTTAAAAATTAGACCTTACCATGATAGTAAATAAAATAAATGACTTAAATACAAATTGAGTTTTTCATTATAAAATTTTATTTTTTTTTTAATTATAGCCAGCCAAAATGGCTCAAAGCATTCTACTATTTTGCAAGGGACAAGGACTTCTTACATCAGTAACTCTACCTGGAATTGAAAGACAGCGTACTTTTTCTGGTAGCTCATCAGATGGCGAACGACCGAGGCGAAGCTTGTCTCGTGGTATGAGTATGGAAGATTATGATAGACCGAATATCCGACGACTTTCCATATCCGTTAATGAAAATCTACCGTCACCTAAATAAAAATCACTATAAATACAGCATATAAGACCGACGACCGTCATATGCTATTTGACTACAACCATGTGTAATATTAATTTATTATGAGCTGTTTGTGTTGGCTAAATTTCCGTTCCGTTCGCTGTTTTGATTATTATTCAAAATTTTATAAAAAAAAAAAAACTAGTCATTACTAATTATTACTCTTAATATTTATACGTACTACTACTACTATTACTAGTACAACTATATACTACGTTAGTATTTGCATGTTTTGTGGTTCATTCGTCCTTTAGCTGTGTAAATTTAATATATTTTATTTATTCACGACTCTAATTTCCGCCCACATATCAGTATGAAAGGGAAAAACAATACTACACCATCCGGGGCTCGTTTTTTTTCCACTAATATGTGGATCGTGTTCCTAAATAATTATGACAATACGAGCGTTGGTAAAAAAGAAAAAATTATTATTGATTGTTATACAAAATTCTAAAGATAAAAAACCTCGAGTGAAGTCTAGTTGCTCATATTAAAATGGCTATTTGTAAATAACATTGAATATTTATTAATAGTCTAACGGGAAAACACGAATTGCAGCGCCATCTTATTTTATACTAAATAAATAAATCGTTTTTTAATTATATTGTGCTCGTGGAAACAAAAAATTTTTGCAAAAGTTTTATTTTTTATATAGCTATAGAAAATACAGTTGATGTATGATTTAGATCAAATTTTGAAGTCATTTTTATTACTTGTAATATTTTTTTAGACAAAAATTAACGTAGCATGAATAATGATTTATCGTTCAATGAGACTGAGTACTTATCAGTTTTTGCTTACTAATACCATCAATAAATCAACTACACGCATAGAAGCTTTCAAAAAATATAAATGCTCAGTAACTGAAAAATACCATGCACGTCGCACTCACTACGTGCAAAATATACGTTACATAATAAAAACTATACTTGAAATTATACAAAGAGATGTACGACAATTATTTTTAAAAGTTTATAAATAAGTTACTTAATTGTTAAAAGATAAATATATACTCTAGTTATGTTTTGATTTTTACTTATTTTTATTTAAAAATATTTTTTTGTAGTTTATAAGCTTTTTACACTATACATAGATAGTTGTTATTGATGTTGCTAAGCTTTGTATAACATAAAAATAATTATAATTATTACAGTTATTTTATTAAAAATGTAGACAAGCATAATAAATATATATATAAATTATAAATAATTATACATACAAATATAAATATTATACATAAAACATATGAAAATATTATTGTGTTGAAATACGGTTATTATATACAAATGTTAGTTGTAATATTATTTTTTATTTACTTATAACTGATTATAAAATTATTGTTAACGTAATGGTAACGAGTCTCCTTTATTATATGTACTTATGAGGTTATAATATCATAAGAAACTTGGATATACTTAAGAACTTCTTTGTTTAGTATTATAAAAGGTGATGGGTAAATAATAAATATTTGCAGACCAAATTCAATTTGAAATCACTTAAGGTTTTTATAAATTGACTTAGAGTACTTGTAAAGAAAAAACTTCTTTGAAAAGTAACTACTATTCTTTCGTGGCCTAAAATAGTGAATACCCTGTTACAAAATATTTTCTCTGAAAATTGAAATGTATCCCTTGAATTAAATACGTGTATACAAAATTTTATTATGTACATTTTAGTTTAAATAGGTATAGAGTATTTAATTCCTATTAAATCCTAAGGATTCTGCATTAAAATAAAGGTATGTAATTTGCACGCCACAGGTAGTCGAAAATATCGTTAGTAATTATCATCAAAATAAATATCGCTATATTCGATTATTTATATTTATATTTTTACGTAAGTGATATGATATTACTCTAATATATATATATATATATATATATATATATATATTTAACAGCTTATAAGCCCATTAGGGCCTCCTCTAAAGGTTTCTTAACCATTGATACTCCAAGTTGAGTGGTTAGTACATCGTCCGAGCGAAGGATGGTGATTCCAATTACCAAACTGATCTCTCACTCAGCAAATGAAGCCGCCCGTGACCGAGTTTCAAATCCAATGCAGTTCGCGTCAAGCATTACCACATTATCGACTCGGCCACTCAGTCCCTCTGATAATACTCCAATATATCGGAGTAATGTCACATGATAATATCTATAGGAGGTATATCATATAAATAACTGGAATAAAATATTTGGAGATGCAAAATTAAAATTTTCTACCCATCAAAACAAAAAATTATATAAAATCATATGTAATTACCTAAATCATTTTAAATCAGGTTAGTCAATTAGGGGACAGCAAATTAGGCATTTACCCCAGTCTAATTTTCAGCTGGATCGATACACACACTAGATTGCGGGTTCATACTTCGAGCAAGACCGTTCCTCGTTAAAAAATTAATTTATAATAGTCTAAAAAATGGGACAACAAAATAACAATATTTGATAAAAAAAGACACTTAATGTTTCATATTTAATTATTTAAAATACTATAGAAACCCGATTTTGACTGTCTTTCTGTTATTCAGATACAAATTATTACTTCATCGTTCAATATAAAACATGTAACTCAAACAAATCGAGCCTCAAAATAAAATGAAAATATATCTAATTATTTTGTGTATAACGTTTACACTTTAGTTTCATCCAATAAAAATAGTTGATGTATAATTGCGAAATTTATAAATTGAAATTCAAGGAAAAAATAACGTTTATCGGTCTTTGGTCCTAGTCTTAATAGCTAAGATTAATGGTTTTTATTGAAGTATATAATTAAGAAATATATTATTATTGTTATTTTTAATTCCTAAAGATCTTTCCTTGATAATTCTTTACAATTTGTTTTTATTTTTTATTGTTAAAATTATTTTAGAAAAAGTTCTGTTTTGTCAATTTTTATAAAAAATGTAAAGGTTACAAGTTGTTATAGGATGACCTACGAGTGATAGCGTTCATTGTAAAATTATGGGCTGTTCAAAAATTTGCTCCATTCTAGTGAAATCTAAAACGACACCTCTAATTTAAATCTAAATTTACTAATAATATTAGTTATTTTCGTGTCAACTTTTATTGTATTAAGTGCTTTAAAAGTTTCTATGTTAATTTATGTTTACTGTACACTTAAAACCTAGAATATTTTTAGTGTGCTAAGCAAAATAGACGCGACAAGTGAGCGTAGCAAGCGAGTGTCTAAATGTCTAGAGCACAAACCTATTTGTTGTAATACGTAAACTAAATTAATTTAACATAAGAATATAAGGTTAAATAAAATTAAAACTATATTAAAAATATTATTTATTTAAAAGCTAAAAAATATTAAACTCCTTTATATACCCCTAGTGACCTTATCAGATAATGATGTCATCACTAAGTAATATTATCACATTTTGCCAGTTTACACAAGTTTAATAATGAATTTTTCAGTGGGCCATGATCCCAATTAATTAAGTTGTTTTTATTTTTAAACATTTCTATTTCCTCTCTAATATTAAATTCTTTGTAATTATTTACGATTTTAATTAGTTTTATGGTTTTAATGAAGTGATTATGTGTCAATAAATGTTCAGCCACTGGAGATTTCTCAACTTCTTGATTTTTAATGTTTCTTAAGTGTTCTTTAAACCTGACCCTATATTTCTTTTTGTTTATCCTACGTAACATTTATTACAACTTTCACATTGTATTTTATAAATGACTTCCCTTCATCTACCTTATCTTTAGGGTTACCTAATAAATATCTTAAATTATTACTCTTTGATGTTACTAAAGTAATACCAAAATTCTTAAATATTCTAACTAGACCACTTGAGATCCCCGAATAATATAAAATGGGTGATCTAATTACTTTTTGTTCCCCCACGCTACTAGTGAGCGTACTAGCTGCCCTCTTTTCTTTATTCCACTTTTGGGTTCGGACTAATTTTGAAATTATGTTTTTGTTATACCCATTAATCTAGCTATTTCTTTTATATCCACCAGTTCTTTATCAAAATCTATTTTATTCATCGGAATATTAATTAATTTGTAAACCATACTATTAAAAGCTGCTAATTTGTGTTGCCAGGTGTGGTTCGATTTGTTCGGAATATACCTAAAAATGTACGTGTTTTTTCGATAAATTTCAAAATTTAGTTCCCCCTCTGCTCTTTTAACTAATAAATCCAAAACCGCAATTTTCCTTCTACTTTTTCTTCATATGTGAATTTAATCGATGGGTAAAAAGAATTTAAATGTTGTATGGAAACCTCCATATTAAATCTTTATTTATAACTGCAAAAATATCATCTACATACCTAACCTAATTTTTTGGAAAATCACCATAAGTGTTTTGAATTTGTTTCAAACCTACTCATGAAAAGTTCTGCTAAAAATGGTGATAGTGGATTTCCCATTGCTATGCCCTCAGTTTGCTCATTAAATTTATTTTGAAACTGAAAAACATTTAAATTCATATATAACTTTGTTATATTAATAATCTCATTTATGTATCCTGTTCTATGTTTTGTTCCTTTAGCTAGTTTTTAAAAAAATCAAATGTTATATTTATCGGAATATTCGGAATTTTTGTTCTCTCTAATCACCAATATACATTTTAAAAAATTATTTCATTTTAATGAGAAACAGGCCGTATTAATTTTTAATATTTTTTTTATCTGAGAAAATTGTAAATATTATGCTCACTATCTATTGAAGTCACTATAATTGGGATAATTATCAGTTGGTATAAATATTTTATTTTTTGTCTATCGAAAAGTGACCAGTTGACTTTTTTACAAAAAAAAATTCAGTGTAAGCCGTTACTGATGCTGAACACTTTAAAGTGGCTTAAGATACATAATTACTGATTTATCGTTGACCATTATTTCTATTAAAATAACTATATAATTGAAACATTTTTATTTTTTAGTAACATATTTCTATTAATTTGAATTATTATTACTTATAAATACTAAATAATATATTTATTTTTGAAATTGGTAATTGAACCTTGAACTCGTGACTGTGTCAGAGCTGTATTATGACTTATATGAACCTTATAGTGGTCATTGAGATGAGCACTTATTGAAAATATTGCTAGCATAAAAAAAATGAGCGAAAAATAAAACCAGTAAAACTCTTTCACTAATAACTAGCCTAGTAATAATCTAGATAGGCTCTAGGTCATTGACCCCTTCTTAATCTAAATTTATTAATTGATCAAATTAAGAATTAAATTAAATTAAATCAAATTAAAAAATTAAAAATAATAAACATTAAAATAATTTATTTTTTTTTAACCATGTTTTATTTAAACTTATTAAATGAATTGATAAAATGTACATATTCTACAAGTTTATTTAATTTTAAGAACTATAGATTTAATATATACCTAGATAGAATTTTGGGTTTTCAACACATTGATTTAAAGAAACTAAGGTTTTTAATATTAATAAATAAATTATAACTTACTATTTATGTTATGAACTTGTTGAAAAAATTACAAAAAACACAATTAAATTCACATAATTTTAGAAATCCATTACACGAGCCAATTTTTTAAGTCTATTAAGTAATATATCTCCTTTCTTCACAGTTGTTTGGTACAAGATACCTCTCTCCAATCTAGATTCTGGTGCTCCAAGTTGTAGACTACATTTTGATGTACTGCTAGTTACAACCGCTCCAGCAACATGGTCAATTTTGCATGTTAGACGTCCAGCAGCAGCAAATCGAGCTACTTCTTTTTCTACAAATTCTTTAGTTACTCCGAATGATTCAGCCATATAGTCCAAACTCAATGATCTATATGCTTGTAATATCTGTTTGTATGCTAATAATCTCATTTCTTGAATATAAAACTTGTAATGAGGATGTAACAAAGGATCCTGTTTCATATTTGTTTCAATTTGGGCTAAATAAACAAGAAATTTTGAATACTGTCCTTCATAAAGAGATACAAAATAGCCTTTCAGTTCTTTGGAATCAGAATTTAAAGCTTGAGCCATAACTCCATGATGCATAAGTGTTTTTTTCAATTCATATCTAGGGAAAGCTATCATTGATGAATATACTGTATACTTAATTATTGTACTAAAATCTGCAAGTTCATAAGATTCAAAAGTTGGTACAACATCAACAAACAACTTAGCAGCACGGTTGAAATCTCTAATTGCCAAACTCCATATACCATCATATGCTTTCAATTTATTTCTCGCACTCCAGTCACCTCCAGATCCACCCTCAATTAATTCTGTTGCTTTGTCTATAGCTTTTTTCATGGCAAGAATATCACATCCATGGAAATATGCTACTCTAAATAAAGCAAATACAGTATCGATTTGTTGAGACTTAGGTATATTTTTTTCTTCTAATTTCGATTCAGCTAACTTAGTAGCTTCAATTCGATCTCCAATTGAACATAAATACTGCAGTTTAGCTTGCCAAATTCCAGAAACTGGATCATCATCATCAACCATAGTGGGATTTTTTTCTTGTTCAAGCTCAGCCATTCTTTTAGCATTATTTGCAGCTAAATTTTCATATAAAGAATGATCAAAATCCCAACCTAAATCAGCACAAACCTCTTTATAATATGGTGCCATGTTATTAGCTATAATACCAGCTAGTAGACGTGAATTAAGATCACGATCATTTTTATATTGTGGAAGAGTTAAACAAAATTTAATTTGCGCTAATTTTAAATACTCAGGAGTTATACCTTCAGCTATATCCATATTAATCTGGAAAAAAAAGTAAAACTTATTATTAATTTCACAGTAGTTTGTGAAATAACAATGGAATAAATAAATATTATATTTTAATTTATAGTATTATATTTATTATTACATAATAAGTATCATTTTATGTATTCCATCACTAAAATTTTAAAATTTAACTCTTATAACTCCAAATTTTTAATAAAATAATTTAAATACAGGTTATTAAAAATAATAATCCATGATTAAGTGATATTGAATTTTTTTTATATAAACTAGAGTTGAACTTAATTTAAGTTCTAAAATTTCAATAACTTCAATCAATTATACTATACTTTTAAGATATACAGGATATACCTAATAATTATATATAAAGATTTATATAATTCTATTATAGTTATATATCATAGAATGTCTTTCACTTGATTCACAAAAAAATATAAAAATTAACTATATTAATAAATTTTTTGCAAATTTCTTATACAAAATAAAGGGTCACTTTATAATTTTACAGACTTGTAATCTCTAAACACAGGTAACTAATTGATTTGCTACATTAAAAAATGATTAGTTTAACATTCTTCTAATTCTTGAACTTAGCATGTTACTAAGGGTGGTGATCCTCACATGTTAGGGAGTCTAAGATAGTTCATGGCTAGGCCAATGATGGACAAGGCCTGTATTATGGTTAGCTTACACTGGTGATCAGATACCATTAATGTGAAAATCACAAGAAAAATCTTGTTGGCACACTGAGGACCCTGTGCACTAAATTATACGTTTCTACACACTAGGCCAGGCCAACTCATTAGTGGATTTTCTACATTATTTGTAAAAAATAATATTAATCATTAGAAAAAAGTAACACATTAAAGAAATATTCATACTATAAGAACCCTAAGAAAATCACATTTAAATTCAATAATCGCACTAAGATTATGAATATGATATAACCAAAAATAATTATGTTATGATAATAATATAGTAAAATCGAGTGACATTTTTTTTTTTGTATCAAAATTTCACATGAAATTTTGTTAAATTTTATTTTTTATGAAATTATTATAAAAAAAATCCTAAGAAACCTCAATTTTGGATTTGGGACGAAAATTTATAAAAGCCTAATTTTCAATGTCCTCTGGAGGATACTGTAAACATGACTGAACTTGCAAGTTGTCAAAATATTTTATGGAATATTATTGAGCTATTTAATAAGATTGTTTGATTAGTCATCATTTTTTTTTAAATTGTGGTTGGTATTCAAATAATAAATGTTAAATGATAACTATGATTTCATAAATGTATATGGATTTAGTTTTGAACCTGTCGATTATAATTGTTATAGATATTACTAGATGTCAGTCTAGTTATTATCACATCTTGTTCTTAGTGTGAATTTTATTGGGTTAATTTTTTTTCAACAGATGATTTTATTTCACACTTATTAAAATATAAACAAGTTATATCACCATTAATTTCCTCATATACTATGAATGGTTATTTTTTGTATTATTTTTCTCTAGAATATAAGCGTAAAATTTCTGTTTAACTGACTATAATTTTTAAAGAATGATACAGTAATAAAATCTTCTAATTTATTTCCTGATATTAATAATATTGTGTTAACACAAAAAATACATAATGATTAAAATTAAGCTTTAAATCATAATAATATTATCAACCAAGTTTTATCAACTTACAATCAAATGACCTTTTTTCTCGTATTTTTTTTATGGAGTCTAAAATTATAAAAAGTACTTTAAATGTGTGCTTTAATAACCCTAAACCATAAATTCTTTTTTAGTGTTTCAGACATATTTAAATAAGTGATTAGTGAAGGTGATGGTGACTAATGATTGTACCTAAGAATATTGCCTAAGCTACCACACCCCTATTACAATTCTGATTTTTAATATATACATATAAACAACTATAACTGTTAAAATTAAATTCAGAACTTTAATTTCCTTAAAAAGTAAAAATGTTTGATTATATTTAATACTTAATTAATTATAGTATTTATAGGATAAAAAATAGCATTTAATATTTACTTAAAATATGATGAAAACATACAAAACTAATATGTTAAAAAATAAAAAAACCTATAATATAATTCAAATAAACTAAAGGTAAAATAGATTAAGTAAAAAAAATGTCAAAGACATTACTTAAAAATAAATAGCTAATTTTTCATGGATATAATGATAGTTCATAATAATATATGTAAACAAATAATTTCTCTTAAAATATTTATTTGAAAATTAAATAAAATACAATGATTTTAAACTCATGAAAGATTTTTCTATCCAACCATTAATCTTTTGCGACCACGAGCCCTAACATTTTGAAGTTGATTAAAGACAGCTTCAAATCCAGACTTATAATTTTCTTTGTAACCATCCAATATGTAAGAAAACAGTTTTGTATAATTAGAATGAGTACTGATAAATGCTCTTTCCAGAACATACAAATCAACAGCTCTATCTTCAACACTCGGATTAAAGTGACTGAGTCCGAAATCAATTAAAACCAAGGCACCATCTTGCTTTATTAAAATGTTTGATGTAGTTAAATCACCATGAAAAATATTATTTAAATGCATTTTGCCAATAATTTTACCAACTTGAATCAATAAGTTTAATAATTCTTTTGATTCATCTTTTTTATTTTGATTGAAATCAGTCAAATATTCATTTACTGTTTGACCACATATATCTTCCATAGCAATTTTGCAATTTTCAATATCTATATTGTATAAAGCAGGTGTACAAATACCAGATTGTTTACATTTTAAAATTGCTTTTGCTTCAGCCTTAGTACGCTCTTTTCGTATTGATTGATCTAAAACTTTGTTTCTGTATTTTTTTGGAAATCGTTCTTTAATAATTGCATTTTTATTTAAATAAGTAGTGCAATAAATCTTAGATTCAGCTCCTTGTTTGAAAATGTCCATTATTTTTGATAATTCAGTATGAATCTGTTATTAAATATAAATTTAAATAAATAACACTAAAAATACAAACACTTATTATCTTTAAAAACCCAACACTTCCAAGTTATACAAAAAAAATTAAAAACCATTTTCTATTCTATAAAGTTAAAACAATTATTGGGATTTACATAACTAATAACAGTGTTGAATTATTTTGTAGGAGGTTCTACCCACTAACCAACAACTAGATAGTAAGAATGCCGTCTCACAAATCTATTTTTTAGTAAAATTATTAAAATTTTAGTTTACTTATCATAACTTTTAAAAATTAAATTACATTATATTACATTTTTATTATTATCTATGTACAATTAAATATTATGCTAATTTGATTCTTTAATAAATTAATAAGGGTGTGGATACATAAGATTTTTACAAAACTCTAGTGATAAACAAAGCTTGTCGCTGTAATGTACAGATGGGTGACCATACCTGTATTTTACAATAGAAAAAACGGCATGTACCCACTGTAGAAGGGAACAGGAAACCACAGAATTTACCCCCTTCCTAATAATATTAGTTCACCTTAGGGGTATCTGATTGGGTTTCTTTAATTAATACTGAATATTATATTTTATAATGTTGTCAAATAATATATTTAGTCCTAGGATATATAACATTATTTTATTTTTTTAATTAACTATGAACTCGCTACCTCAGATTTAATTCAGTATCTGAGGAACTTACAGCAAGAGCAAAATAAAATACATTATAATTATATTTAAATAAATACAAGAAATTGTTAAAAATTACCATAAATACAACTTAGTTAATGTACTCAGAAAACATAAATAATTAAAATTTTTAGCTCTCTACACATATATAATAACACCCTGCGAATGAAATTAAAATCAAACTACTTACCGGTAAATGTAATAAATAATCAACAATTATATTCTATCTAACTGTATTATGTTTTGTTTAGTGAAAAATCACATAAAACGAAACAATACCAAATAATTTTTTTTAAAAATGACAATTTTGTTTAAGCTATTATATCATCTAAAACATCAGTTGTTTACTTATGCATTGTCATTTTAATCTTATCAATAAAATACTAACCTAAAATTTATAATAATGTATAACTACAGACCATGGTCATAGAGTAAATAAATAACGATAGACATAATTTTGGCAGTTCAGTTTTTATCATGAATATAATGATTATTTATGCTAATAGATAGCGTAAATATCGAGTGCATCTATTAGTTAAAATATACGTAGTATTTTAAATTTTAAAATAATTATTAAATAAATCTACGATGTACTTTATTAAACAGTGATTGTTGTACACGTAAATTTCGTTTTATGATTTTAACACTTTTTATTTTTTATCTTAATACTATACTAAGAATCCTTAATAGGACTTTGACATAAAATGTGGTATTCAATACAAGACTAAACATACAATTATATATATATATATATATATATAAACAAATTTTTATTGTTTATTATTGATATAAACATTTAAAGATTTAAATTTTTTTTAATTAATATACATGTAATATATATAAGGGATTACAAATACAGGTAGCTAATTTGTTTTTTATGACGATATTATCAAGCATATAGCCTTTATTGTCAATGGTAATAAGACACACTGTTGTGAGTTTATAAACACACTAACTGGCAATACAGAAATTATATCTATTAATAGTGATAATTGATAATAATCACTCCGTGACTGTGACAGCGATATCAAAAAAACTAAGAAGTGAAATATAAATATAATCTAAAAAACTAAAAAAACACGCTTTTAAAGCACATCAAATTATAAAGTTAAAAATATTTAAAACAATAATGAACGAAAATACTAGTATTATTGTGAAAAAAAGCGTGGGTGCTTTGTGCCATATTTTTCGTATATTGAGCGCCCGACACTTTTTCACAATAATACTAATATTTTCGTTCATTATTGTTTTAAGCTTAGTTCGATATGCTTTAAAAGCGTGTTTTTCAGTTTTTTAAACTATATTTATTTAAATGAAAAGTCGTATACAACACAACTAAGTTTTAAATTAAATAGTATAATCACAAATTAATTATATTTTATAACGAATATTTCACAAGAGTGCTTACCACACTTGTAATATTTAACTATAACTTTAATACGTTGTAAGCTTTTTAGAATATTTAACTTGAAGTCAAAATTTCATAAGATGGGCATCGTGGATAAATAAAAGATTTCAAGAGGAAATTAATATTTTTATAGGTTGAATCTATTTCAACTTATTTTATCATTTTAAATTGATCTTAACTTTGGTTAAAATTGCTTTATTTGTTAGTATATTTTTTTCTAAAATATTTATAATTTACTTTTTTTTTAATATTTCATTGTATCTCTGAAAAAATAAATTACTAATTTTTATATATAAAAACATTATAAAATGCGGAATTAGTAATTAATATCACACCTACACTTGATTACAGGCAAGTTAAGAAATTAAACACCAAATAATATAAAAATCATGACAATGAATAAATCGGTAGCGAGAAACTTGTTATATATTAAGTTCAGATTCTCAACACTAAGAGAAAATTAAAAAAAAACAAATAATAGTCAATTATAAATTAATATTAATTAAATAAAAATCAAAATTATGTTTAATCAAATTCGTATTTATAACGAAAAGTTTCATTTAAATCATACAAGCAATTGCCCTTTTAATAATAACTGGTTCTTATCTTAATTTGCGCTAGCGGTTTTAGCCGTAAATGGATAATTGTAGTTATTACTCGAATATAAACAAGCTGGACCGTTATTATTAAATATTTAATATTTCTTAAGAGGATATATAACGCTATCTCTACAAGTATATATTAACAAAAAATCGGTTCCCAATTGTTTGAATACCGTGGCCTATCTATGTGTAAATAATCAAAGATATCGTGTTATCAAATTTTTGATAACATAACTTACCGCATGTACATCATAAACGATCATATTCTATTCTGTTTACTAGTATTCCTTTGTCTGATGGATAACTATTATTTAAATACTGGAAATTGTGTTTAGCTTAAACATAATTAACATTTAAAACATAAAATATCTTTTTTTTTTTTAAATTTTGTATTTATAATGATTGTACCCAATATTGAAGATCAAATTATCGATGAAGATTTTGATGATGTATCTGAAGAAAAGCATCGCAATTTACTAGAGAAAATCACATCGAAGACTAGTAGAAAGTAAGACTAGTAGTATTCTTTATCATTATAATGTATATTATTAAATTAATCTTAAATATTTTATTGTAATTTATAGAATACAGCCAAGTTTACGAAATGAACCTAGTTTAGAAGTATCTGAATTTCATTTTATCAATAAACAACAATCTACCAATGTGAAAGATTTAGCTGATGCTTTAAAGAAAAAAGCACCTCTTATTAGACAGAAGATACAAGTAGCTAAAACTACCAAAAAACCTTTACAAAAACCATTAGATAAAATTCATGCTGACAAGGTAAATTACTCATACTTTTATTCTTGTATAATTAAATAAATGATTTAGTTTAATTTTTTTATTTTATATAATGTAAAAAAGGTAAGTAATTTTGTTAACAGGAAAAATAGTATAGGTTTCGTATAGAAAATATATTACAATATATTGATTTTAATTATAAGTAGTTTAATATTTATTTTAATTAAGTATAATATGTTTGTAATTTTAGATTAAAAGAGCTGTAGCTTATGAAAACTTTAAAAAACACATAAGTAGGTGGTCAGCTGTTATAGAAAAAAATAAAGCTTCTGATCAGTTAAAATTTCCATTAAGAAGTTCTGAAGTTGAAGTATTTGATAATCGTATGGTTGATTTTACGAGGAATTGTTCAGAACCTACAGAATTACAGAAGACTATTTCAAATTTATTGCAATCAAGTGATGTAGTTGCTAAACGTCAGCAAAGTATAGTATGTATCAGAACACAAGGTATTTTTGATTTAGTTTTAGTTGTTATAGAAATGGGCAAGAACTACCCATGCATTCAGACCTATAGGTCTATTGTGCACATCTCCTATTGAATTATATTAATTCGGTTTCTTTTATAAGTGTTCCCACCAAAATGTTGTTGCTATTGTTGAATACCTAAGACTATATTTAGAATTTCTTACTAAGCTACACCTATATATATATATTCAAAGAGTCCTGTCTCTAGCAAAATTAAGTACGTCTTAGGGTTTTAGATTTTTAATATCATCTTTTTTAGGAAAAGATTTTCCCAAATGTTTAAATCTTAATATGACCAAGGTATCATATTCACACATAATGTGAAATGAATCATCCTCTTCTATTATACACTTATTGCACAGTGATAATTCTGTCACTCCCATTGTGTAAAGATGTTTAAGCTGATAACCATGTCCTATCAGTAATCCAGTCAAAATGCTTATTTGATATCTAGTCATGTAATTAATATCCTTCAGGAGTAGACCAGGAGTCTTTATAATTATTTAACATTGACTACTTAATATATATTTACTAACTTAATTAATACTTTAATTAATCAAAGAATGAATTTAAGTATTTTTTATAGTAAATAGTATTAATTTTATTTAAAAAATTACGTTTTAGCATCATCTGTTTTAACTTTTAAAGGTGTCATCTTTAATTTTTTTAATTATTTAAGAAGTTATTAAAATTTGTATACCTAGGCAAACGGAGTAGTAAAGTAATAGGGCTGAAAAATGTATAGTAAAAAAATTAATAGCACCCACTCACCTCAATTAAATACTATAAATTGTAATAACTTCCGTCAATTAAAAATTTGTTATCAGCTAGTCATTTTCATAATTAGATTATTTTCTAATATGTAAGCTAATGAAACATAAATGTTGAAAAAATTGAAAAATTAAAGTTGATTCTCTTACAATGTATAAGGGATAAAGATGAAAAATAATTTATGATCAATAAGTTAAAATCATGGAACTAAGAAAAATAAAAATAAAAATTATCAATATTATATTTATTTTTTGATTAAATCAATGATAAAAAAATCACTCTGTATATATTAATGGTTTATTTCATAAACTATTTCTCAGAAAATGTCGTGGATAGAAAAAGAAAAAGAAAAATATCCGCTGACATTAAAAGAACTTTTAGAAAAACGTAAAGCTATGGCTAAGTTTAGAGCTCAAGAATCTTACAGGCATGCTAAAGCACATAGACTAAATAAAATAAAAAGTAAAAAATACCACCGGCTATTGAGAAAAGAAAAAACTAAGGAACAAATAAAAGAATTTGAAAAACTTCAAGATACTGATCCTGTAGCAGCTTTAGAAAAACTTAATGAAATAGAAAAAACTAGAGCTGAAGAAAGAGCAAGCTTAAGACATAAATCTACTGGACAATGGGCTAGAAATCATGTTGTTAGAGCAAAATATGATAAGGAAGTATGTTATATTTTCTCAAATTATTTTCAGTTTTTAATTTTTATAGCATCATTTTATTTTACAGAGTCGAATTGCTCTAGCTGAACAACTGAGAAAAAGTAAAGAACTAACTCAAAAATTGGGACCATCATTAAATGATAATGTAGATACCAGTGATACAGATTCTGATCAAGATTTTACAAAAACTGAAGAAGTATTTGATCCTAATAATCCATGGCTTGCTGATCGTAAAGAGTTTGCTGATTTTATGGATGGTTATAATAAATTTGTTAAAGAAAATAATGAAAAAGACTTAGATGACAATAAAGAAATTCTGCAACAAAAATATAATTTAAGCGAAAGTAAATGTGATGAATCTTCTAAAGAAAAAAAAAATGCATGTACAAGTGTTGAATATTTAAAGTCATTAGATGATAACAAATTTAAACATCAAAACAAAATAAAAGAAATTTCAATTGAAGAATTAGGCGTTTTAAGTAATGAAGAAAGTGATGTGGAAATAATAAAAATAAAAAATCCTAAGAAAAAAAATAAATCATCAAATCATTTTATTCAATTGGAAGGCAATAGAGATAATAACTCTTTTAAGATAGATAATAGTAGTTATAGTGAAACTATCAAAAAAAATAATGGAGAAACTGAAGTAATTCAAACAGCTACAGGAACATGGACTATCTCAATAGAAAATAAAAAATCCAAGAAACAAAAAAAGCATAAAAATGTAGAAAGTGTTTTTAAAGAAGTTGAACAAGCTTTAAAAGAACAAATTGATAAGAAATTGAGTAATGTTAACAATGACTTAAATAAAGATAGATTTAAAAATAAAAAATTACAAGAAATTTCATCTGATGGAAGTCATAATAAAATTAAAAATGAAGATTATTTGAAAATGCCAAATAAACGAATAAATACCCATATAAATGAACCCTTAAATGAAAATAAATATGAAACTAATGTATCAGATACAAATTATATTGAAAGGGGCCAATTTTTACTTTCTAATAAAATTGAGAAGCCATTACAATTTGAAAGTAAAAACATTGATCCAACAGAATTTCTTCAAGTGAAACCTATAAATTTAGAGTCAACAGAGATGGCTCAAATTGAAGAGTGCATAGATGATACAGAAAAACAAGAAGAATTAATTGCTGAAGCTTTTGCTGATGATGATATTATTAATGAATTCAAGTAATATTTATTATAAAACTGTTAAATTTATATTTATTTATTTATAAAGATAAACTATTTTTTAAAGGGATGAGAAAAAAAAACTTGAAGAAGAGTCAAAACCAAAACTTCCAACAGCACTTCCTGGTTGGGGTAAATGGACAGGCCCAAATATAAAACAAAGAACATTTAAAAGACGACCTAATCTTGGTTTCTTTAGAATACCTGCTAAACCACCTCGTAAAGATTTTAATAGAGAAAAGGTCATTATTCATGAAAATGCTGATGACTCACTAAAGTCTCACATGGTAATATTGATTATCATAATAATAATAACGTTTCTATTTGCTTTGTTAGTATTTTAAGCAGTTAACTATTAAAAAAAATTTAATTTGAACATTTTTAAATAACTTATATTTTATTGTTTGATAATTTTCTATTAAATGTTATATTTTAAAATTCTAGGTTTCAGAATTACCATACCCATTTAAAAATGTACAAGAATATGAAGAAACTATTAAAGTACCTGTTGGACAATCATGGGTTCCTGAAACTGTTTTTCGCAAACTAATTGATCCTCCTATTATTACAGAAATGGGTCAAGTTATAAATCCTATTGATGAAAATTCTATTGTTAAACTTAAAATGAATAATTAATATATTTTAATTATGTATTATTTTATTATTAAAAAATAATGTGACATGATTTAAAATTATATCTTATATCCTAATTTTTTAGTTAAAAAAAAACAAATATTTTTAAAGTTTCACATTAAAATTCTAGTTAGTTAATAATCAGTAAAAATTTTGTTGAACATTTATTTTGCTAGTGTAGCATCAATTTGATTTATCCAAGGAATAATTAGCTTGATTTTTCTCCGGTAAGCACTGTCTTTGCTAATAGGATTATGTTCCAAATAAATAGTTTCTAATTTATTCATTTTCCCCAAAATTTCAATACAACTCCAATTGTTTATTTGATTATCATTTAACTGAAAAAAATTAATTCATAACATGAAGAATAATAGCTATGTATAAGAACCATACTTATTTAATAGTTATTATTATTTTTTATCATTAAAAATACAAATTTTGTTCTTTTTAAATAACATTGAAAATGTTTACTTAAAAAGAAAGAAAAGTTTTAAATTTATTATACTTTATTGATCTAAAGATAAAATTATTACTTAATAAAAGGCTGTGCCATTGCGTTTAGTTTTAGTTTATATTTTTCGTGTTTTAAAAATAACTAATATAATATTATGTTTCTAAGTACTGAATTATCATGAATTGTGAGAGTCATGGCAATATGTGTTTACAGTAAAAGCATAGCATCTGAATAACTAATAGTTTTACCAAAATGTAAACTCAAAATGAGGTATGTACTGATTTTTTCCCAATATACCTAAAGTTGTTATTTTTTACAATTATTCATAATAAAAATAAATCAATGTATTCTATATTGTACTCTTATATATGATTTTATTCATGTTATAATTTAGACAAAATTTTAAGGGTTGCAAAATTAATTAATTTGTCTGGAAGATGACCTTCATTATAGGCCCCATATATTTAATTCTATATTGTTTGTAACAATGAGAACAATAGATACCCGTTTCCTGACTTACTGAACACCCTGTATATATAGATCACAAATCGTATCTAGTTGAAGACATTACCATCAAAAATTGAACAAATTTCCCTTGTTCCCCTCCAAAAAAATTACAAATTTAAAAATCACTAATTTTCTACATTTTTTCAATTTTTTTTACTTAAAACTGCCATAACATTCAAAATTAAACAAATCAATATAATTTTTTTTTAATAGATGCGTTATGTCCTTACCTATCATTTAATATATTTTTTTTATAAATTTGACCCTTTACCTGCCCACAGGGGGGGATTTAAAACGACAACTTTTTGACAAAAAATTAACTTTTTAAAGTGTTCCGGAAATACTGACACTTTTATATATACCTTAAATTAAAGCTTATGTAATATACTTTATTATGAAGAAAAAAATTTCAGACTTTATTTTGTCTTCACGGTGAAAATGTGTCATAGTTGGGTCCAGTATAGATTTATTTATTTATAATAAAAAAACGGTAGCACAGTGGGGTCGCGGCATAGTGGAGACATTGCATAGTAGAGTCCAGTATAGATTTAATCTGACAGTGATTAAAATCACTATCATAAGAAACGCTTCGATGCAAATCTGTAGATAGTGTTTAATTTTAAAAAATTGATGGATAATTGCAAAAGCAACATCAACTTCTATTAAAATAAAATACAAAACCCATAATTATCATACAAAAATAGTATATTTTTCAATATGGTAGCCATTTGCGTATAGAAGATAGATCGTCGGGACAAATTTTTTTTTTTCATTTTGTAGTACATAAAATAAGCTTTAATTTTATATATGTTTAAAGGACGCAGTATTTCCGGAACATTTTCAAAAATTAAGTTGAAAAAGTTATTTTTTGTAAAAAAGTTACTATTTTAAATCCTCCCAGTGAGCAGAATAAGTGTTAGATTTTCAAAAAAAATTATATCAAATGAAAGGGAAATATCTAAGGTTTCAATACAAAAAAATATTATTTTTATTTGTTCATTTTTGAAAAAGTTATGGCAGTTTTAAGTACAAAAAACATCCCGATAAAATGTAATTTTTATCGCAAACATTACATTTTTTTTTAAATTTTCGACAGCCATTTGCACATAGAAGATAAGATGTCGGGACAAATTTTTTTTTTTCATTTGATAGTATATAACATAACCTTTGATTTGATATATGTTTAAAGGACGCAGTATTTCCGGAACATTTTCAAAAGTTCAGTTGAAAAAGATCTATGTTTTTTACAATATTTTAAGTTTTGAACGCCCCCTATATAAGGGGAAATTGTCCAATTTTAATAAAAAGTATGTCAAATGAAAGATGTACTTATAATGTATTTAGAAAAAAAAAATTTGTGCTGATATATACATTTTTCAAAAAGTTATAGCATTTTTAAGTTGAAAATTTAAAATCGAAAATCGAAAATTTTAACACAAAAATAGTGTTTTTTTAACTACGGCAGCCGTTTAAATGTAGAAAAAAAAGTGTCGGGACAAATTTTTTTTTTTCATTTTGTAGTACATAAAATAAGCTTTAATTTGATATATGTTTAAAGGACGCAGTCTTTCCGGAACATTTTCAAAAATTAAGTTGAAAAAATTAATTTTTGTAAAAAAGTTGCCATTTTAAATCCCCCCCAATGAGCAGGTTAAGTGATAGATTTTCAAAAAAATGATATCAAATGAAAGGTAAATATTTAAGGTTTTAGTATAAAAAAAAATTATGTTGATTTGTTGATTTTTCAAAAAGTTATGGAAGTTTTAAGAAACAAAAATGAAAAAATTTCGAAAATTAGCGATTTTTAAATTTGTAATTTTTTTGGATATTTCCCCCATTTGCGGGGAACGAGGGAATTTTTTTCAATTTTTAAGGGTAATGTCTTCAACTAGATACGATTTGTGATCTTTTGACGTATTTTTGAAAGAAATCGGTCCAGTGAGAGCTGAGAAAAAGTGGCAACAGACATAAAAAAAAAAAAAAAAACACATCATAGTAAAATTAATACCTTCTCCGCTTCGCATCGAAGCTAAAAACGCTTAGATGCAAATTTGTCAATAGTGCTTAATTTTAAGAAGTTGGTGAATTTTATCAAAAGCAAAATGAATTCCTATTTCCTTATTTATATCATAATTACAAGTTTTATGATTTATAAGTGTAATATACAGAGTGATTTTTTTATCATAACCCTACTTGCAGAGTAATAATAATTTAAACTTTTTTTTTTTTGGTTTTCTTTAGTTACACATTATTCTTGAATTATTATCTATTTAAAACTTTTCATGTTCATCCCTTATGCCTTGTAAGGGTGTCAACTTTATTTTTTTAAATGGAAACACATATTTTGAATTTAATAATATGTTTGAGTTTTTAATTTAACAGTAAATGTCATTTGAATATTTATTATAACTTTATTTGTTTATTATATATAAACACTTAAAGTTTCAAATTTTTGATTTAATATACATATGTGTTATGTATAACACATAAGGAATTACAAATACAAGTAGCTAATTGGTTTTTTATGACATCGATATTAGCAGTTACACAGCATTGTTATTATCAATGGTAGTAAGGCACATTGTTATGAGTTAATAAATACACTAACTGACAATACAGAAAGTATATATATTGATAATTATAATTGATAATAAACAATCCGTGACTGTGGCAGCAATGTCATAAAAATCCAATTAGCTACCTGTATTTACAATCCCTTGTGTATTATACATGTATATTAACTTAAAAATTTGAAACGTTAAATGTTTATATCTAATAAACTAATAAAGTTATAATAAAAATTCAAATACCTTTTACTAATGAATTAAAAATTCAAACATTTTATTTAATTCAAAATATGTGTTCCCATTCAAAAAAAACAACGTTGACACCCTTACAAGGCATAAGGGATGAACATGAAAAGTTTTAAATAATTCATAATTCAAGAATAAAGTGTAACTAAAGATAACCAAAAAAAAAATGTTTAAATTATATTTATTCTGTAAGTAATTGAGTGGGTTATGATAAAAAAATCACTCTGTATGTATAAATATATATTATAGAAATTAAATTTTAAGCAAGTAATTTTTATGGAGAAATTATAATTAAATTATATGGATAAATTTCAAGGAATTTTCATTATAGACTAAAATATATTTTTCTAAACCCATCTTCCCACTGATTTCTAATCTGCAATTAGTTTTGCATATGGCTTAAATAATAACAAAATCCATTTAATTAATATAACAAATATTTATGTTTGATTATTAGGTTACGTATGAATATTTTTTATTCAAAAATAGATTGAAAAAGTTCTATTTTCTATACGCATTTTTAAGTTTTAAACCACCCCTATAAAAAGGAAAATGGTCCGATTTAAAAAAATATATGTCAAATGAAAGAAGTATATAAATAGTATTTATCATAATAAAATTGTATTGATTCAAACATTTTTTAAAAAGTTATAGCATTTTAAAGTTAAAAATGTAAAATATAAAATCGAGAATTTTTACACAAAAATAGCATTTGGTAGCCATTTTCACCATGAAGACAAAATAAAGTCCGAAAGTTTTTTTTTCCATAATAAATTGCATTACATTAGATTTAATTTAAGATATATATAAAAGTGTCAGACTTTCCGCAATAATTTCAAGTTAAGTTGAAAAAATTAGTTTTTGTGAAAAATTTGTCGTTTTGAATCATCCCCTGTGGACTGGTAAAGGGTTAATTTATAAAAAAAATATACCAAATAATAGGTAAAGACATTAAGCATCTATAAAAAAAAAAACCCAGCACAGGGGGGTCGCGGCACAGTTGTGACGTGGTATAGTTGGATCAAGTATAATGATATCTGA